TGATTTTGCCCTCAAAGCTCTTATGCCATTCTATGGCGAAACTACACAAAGTCGTCGTGAAATCTGTTCACATTGTTCTTCGTGGATATCTTTGGCGACAAAATATTGACTTTTTGCGACAAAATCTTTTGTCACCAATTCTACCTCTTTTTTTTTTTGGTAGTGAAATTTGAAGAAAGAATGTCTGACAATAATCTTAAGTAAATTTTTTTTCCCCATCTAGGGCACCATGTTATAATGTGATTGTTTTGTATGACATATATACTAAGACACATAACAAAATTGTATTTCAAGTGGGTAATTGCATGCAACGAACCAATGTTATAAGTTGGTGAGGTGCTATATCCAATTAATTACGTAGAGGGTCATACCTAGTGCACAAAATTCCTGCATATAACTCGAGCCTACTTATAAAGGTCATACCCAATGCAAAATGCTTCAGCATATAATACAATTGGAGAGATTAGGAGGGAACTATTCACTATTCGGATTGCTTATTCGAAGGAGTGAGTAGTTCATCGTTTGTTTTTTTTCAGTCCGCCGGGCATGGAGTCCTTATCCCCCGTATGGGAGATTATACTATCCCGGGGGGGTGTGTGACAGTTTTGGGGGGACAATTTACTGTTGGAATTAGGTGGTAAAATAACCATTTTGACCATCTACTATTTAATTATGTATTATATTTAGTAAAATTCAATAAAATTGAAATGTCTCAATTTAAAAATAAAATAATTTTATTTAACTTTTTATTGATGTTTTATTTATTTAATTTTTTGAAACAATTTTTTATAAATATTTTATTGATATTTTATTTTAAAATTTTGTTTATATTTTATTTAATTTCATTATTTAAATGTTAATAGATATTTTATTTAATTTCATTGTTTAATTATTATTATTTTTAAAAACAAATTTATTTGAAATTTTAATTAAAAAAATAACATATATTTTTATTGATATTTTATTTATTTAATTAAAAAAAATAAATTTATTTAATAGTGTAAAAAATAAAATAAAATAAATTTTTATTTAATCTAACTAAAAATAATTAAAATATTAAAGATATGTTTAATATTGCTATTATTCAGTAAATAATTGAAAAATGGTAAAATAATATTTTGCTTATTTGTCCTATCCAGTCTGTCTAACCAAACATTGAATTCACTAAAAATAGTCCTTTTCAAATATCTAATCTCATGGAAAAACAAACATAGGATACATATTTAATCTAACCAAATAGTCTGAAAAATTCACAGTCTCAGACTCAAGTCCAATAAATTTTAATCCTCTTTTATTCAGTCCGTTCAATAAAAGGCACTTAGCTCATAGACTTTCGGGGAGAGAAGCTAATTCTCGTTACTCAAATTTACGTCACAAGGACACATACGAATAGGACTTACCATTGTCAAAACCTCTCAACGTTCATTTCAAGGGGTCAAATCTCTCAGAATGTGGTTGTTTTGAAAGATTATTTTATGAGATTAGATTATTAATTCAACCAAAATAATGGTCTATTGTTCAGTTTAATTTTTTTTTTTTTTTTGTTTTGGATTAATAGTCTTTCAGGATTATTAGTCTTTTATATATGAAGAATTATTGTATTCTAAGGAGAAGGGTGAGATTATTTTTATGAGATTGATATCTCATGAGATTAATGTGTAAAATGTTTATTTTACCCTCATCCTATTACTTAATAAACAATTGAAAAAAAATAAAATAACTTTTTGAATATTTATAAATTATTTTTTTAGTGTTAATTTAAAATTTATATTAAATAAAAAATATAAATTATAAATTTAATTTAATTAAAAATTACGGCTTTAATTAAATTTATATATTAAATAAAATTATTTTTTTAGTGTTGTTAATTTAAAATTATACATTAAATAAAAAATATAAATTATAAATTTAATTTAATTTAAAATAATAAATTTAAAATTATGACCTTATAAATTAAAAAATTTTAGTGTTGTTAAATTATAAATTATGGATTACAAATTTAAAATTATATATCAAATAAAAATTATAAATTACAAGGGTAAAATAGTTTTTTGAACATTAATTTTTATTCAGTCAGTCAAACCAAACATTGAATTCACTAAAAATAATCTAATCCAAACATTTAATCCTATGACTAAACAAGCATAGAATACAAATCTAGTTTAACCAAATAGTTCGAGGACAACGTATCCCAAAATTAATAGTCCAATAGATTACAATCCTCCTTTATCCAATCTGTCTAAACAAGCACACCCTCATAGTACAAATAAGTTACACCCCCAAGTTTTCGTTGTTACAATATTATGTAACAATCGCAGGTGGTGTTTGGCAAGTGATTTTGGAGTTAAAATAATTACAAAAAATAAAATAAGTTATTTTAGCCATAACAAACAAAACATCACATCCAACCCATAATCATTATACTCTTCTCTCACAAAAAAAATAAAAAAGTCAAAAAGCCAAAAAATCCTTCTCAAACCAAGCTTTTTAGCCCAGATTAAAATAGCCAAAAAAGTCAAAAAGACAAAAAGTCAACCCACTTTCGAAACGGAGGCTCACTTAGAATAAACCATGGACAATTTAATTTCCATGGGATGTCTAAAAGATTACAATTAACCTAATTTACATCTCATGCAGGTTTTTTATAAGATGGAGGATGAATACAATTAACCTGATTTGGACATCATTTTTTAAGAGATTCAGGATGACAGCTGTTGGGACTATATTGATTTTGTGCTTTGAGATGATTACATGTTTAAAGGGTCTAAGCATTGCATTCATTGCACTTCAACTAGAATTTTTTTTTTTTTTTTTTTTTAATTTGGAAATTGCACGCTAGAGGATTAGCGCGATATTTTGGTACAGATAAGACCATTGTCCTAGCTGATTACAGATATACCGGTGTAGAAAACAATTGTTTGTTCCACACAAACCTTGTATAGATTTTGTCCTCGATCTGCCCTATAACTATTAAGCATCATTTGAGAAATGGGTTAAATTTTTAACTTTTTAACTTTTTTTTGATTATTTTAACTTGAAATTAAAAAGTCTGATTTGAGAAGGACTTTTGACTTTTTTGACTTTTTTTATTTTTTTGTGAAAAAAAGAATGCAATGATTATAGATTAGATGTGATGTTTTATCTTATTGGACTAAAAAACTTATTTTGTTTTTTGTGACTATTTTAGTCAAAAAAAGCCACAAAACCCTCTTCCCAAACATAGGCAAGTCACCAATTATCCAAAAAAATTTAGTTATTAGGAAATAAGCAAAACAATGTATATCAACCTATCCAACACCCTCTCTCACGTGCAATCTCGTCTTGTATGTCGAGAGACAAACAGAGAACAAAATAGGAGAAAAAACCAAACAAGGACAAAATTTGAAATGCTAACAAAGAGACTTAAATCCAAAACTTATCTTAACCTAAGCACTGATACCATGTTACGTCTCCAATTATTTTAAAAGCTTAAGCTGTTAGGAAATAGGCATAACAATGTATATCAAGCTATCCAACAATAACAACTAGAGACCATGATTTAACAAAGAAAGAAAAAAGAAGGAAAAAGAAATCCCATGAGACATCTCAAACTTTACATCTCATGCAGTGCCTCACAAACATCAAATATACCAACCCCTAAAGGCTACCACCAGAAAAGATATAATGCCTACACATATGGGAGTTGAGGATAGGTTTTAGTGGGCATCCTTGAAACTGGATGTTGCTGTGATTGCCTCTCAATGTCACAATTGTCAATTGGCTAATTGGCTAAGGCAAAGAAAAGAATACCGCTTTGTTTGTACACACCCTTGACTGTTCCACACACACCTTGGAAGGTCCTCAGTATGGATTTTGTCCTTAGATTACCTAGAACAACTAGAGATCATGATTCTAAAAACAAAAAACAAAAAACAAAAATATTCCATGGGATATCTAGAAGTGTACATCTCATGCAAAGCCTCACAAACATCAAGTATACCATTAAAGGCTACCACTAGAAAAGATATAATGCCTATATATATATAGAAGTATGATGAAAGTTTGATCAATTTGTGCATGGTGTATATGCAAGAAAAGTGTTACTTACATTGATGGATGACTGTAATATGTCAAGCTTTTATGCCATTATCAGCACCTATACTTAAAATCTTTCCTCATCTCTTTGAAAATGAAATGACATAGAATGCTGAAAAGCAGAGAAAATTCTTCCTGCTAGGCATAAAGAAGACCAAAGTGCAAACAAAAAAGAACAATGACAACCAAATAGTACAAGTGAATAATGATGTAGACCGTAACAACCTCGAGCAAGGATAAGGCACGTCTTAACATTAGTCATACATATAATTTAAGCATTTCAGTAAACGCCGAGGTCCGCCAACTAACAACAATCCCCAATGTGGCAAATAATAATAATAATAATAATAATTGGAGACGACATTCACATGGAATAAAGTTCAAAACAACTTTATTAAGACATACTTGTATAAGCATCTATCAAAAAGGAAATTAAGATACTTGTAAACTTGCCTAGTTTTTTTAAATACTATTTCTAGATTTAAAAAGAAACCAGAGAAAACCAACTCTCCAGCTAAACTAAGCCTGAAAATACTATTCATAGACTTCAAAGAACCAGAGAAAACAAATTCCCCGGTTAAACTAAATCTGAAAATACTATTTATTTCAAACTTTAACCTAGGAGATTCTCAGTTTGTCCAGCTTTTGTTAAGTTCTATGGCAAATATTCTCTTCTAGCATCCCTTTTTGGCTGCTGCTAGGAGGTTAAAAAGAAAAGGTATTCCCTTACGCCTAGAATTTTCACCCACCCTTTGTAGGCTTAAGAGTTACGACTTCTTTTCATGCTTTTCGAATTTCCATTCTCACAATCTTTATTTTTTACTTTTCTTCTCTTTTTGGTACTTTTCTTCTCTTTTCTTTTTTATGGATCAAAGATCCATATTGAAGAACTTAAGGTAAGCAAGAAGAATAAAGGGAAAGCAAGGGAGTTTCAACACTTGATTTAGGTATTATATATTTCTTGAGAACTTCAAACGTTTTGAGTATCAATTAGAGGCGGCAAATGAAGAAGAGTACATTTCAACTTCCACAATGCAAAGAGAGGTTTGCAGGAATAAAAACAACCTTAATCAACTAACTGGGTGACAAAGATCATATTCCTTGGCAAGAACAACAGGACACCTCGCACGCTTATATATATACAGCACCATGTGATGAAGGATCAAAAAACGAATGGAAGACAACACTAACAGAACTAAAAGCACTTATATAACAGAATTAGTAATTTTTTTTTTTTAATTTATAAAAAAAAGGTAACAAGTGTATCATAGAATTGGATTCGGTATGAAGAAAGGAACCTTTAACTAATCAACACTATCGATCTTGATCTCTATGAGTTCCTCAATAGGTTGGCGGCATATCGGGCACTTGTTTGATTGAAGCCTCAATTCTTGTGCACACTCACTGCACATACACTGCAAAATGCAACATACTACAGTCAGAAGAGAAGCAATTGAAGTCTTATAAAGAGAAAAACAGCAATAGTAGATCGGTTGTTGAGCTTGTCATGGTCACAAACTGGAACGATTCACTAAATACAGGAGAGGGAGAGAGAGAGAGCAGCGAAAGAAAATAATGAACTTGAATATATTGAAGCTTTTCTTCTTAGTTTGTATGAATAAACATGCATCAAGAGATTAGTTCAATATCTTGTGAACTTTAAGAACGACTCATAATTAAATTTCTTTAGAATTGTCTCCTGAGACTTCATGATTTAAACCAATCCGTGTTAGATATGCTCAAAGCCACAAGCTTTGTGCCCAACCCATTATCACTCTCAACGGCTTATTGTGTCATCCAGTAAGAATCCATGAAAAGCATCATTACTGTTCACTAGACAGTAGACATCTACATCTTAATTGTCACTGAAAATATACTAATGTTATATTTGGTTCATTGGAATGAACTAGAATGGAATGATCATCCATGAGAATGTTCATTCTCACTTTTGGTTCACTTAAAAAGGTAAGAAAAATGCATTCCAGATGGAATCATCATTCACCATTGTAAAAGAATGGTCATTATATAACAAGACTAAAGAATGACCATTTCATTCTAATCCACATTCATTCCAATGAACCAAACACTACCTACATTTCAGATGAATTCTCACCATATGTCGGCATGGAAGGACAGCTGTATCCTTCGGTTCAGTCATGCAAATCACGCACGCTTTTCCTGGGTCATCGTCCTTGAAGCTTTCTGCAGCGGAGTTTCCAATTCCATATATTTCACGCAGCTCGTAGCGAACCCCATCAATCCACAGTATCTGCCTGATTACTCTCACATGAAGAGTGTTCTCATCGTTCTTCTCTATAACAGCTTCAGTAATCTGCATGTTCGGGGATGAACTTGGCAGAGGATCAACAAGACATTCTTCTATAGGGACATAAGGCAAGTATGTTTCAGCACAGATAACAAGTGGAAACACATCTCCTGAAGATGGCTTGGAAAGATCGTCTGATTCAAAGAAGCTGAAGTCAATGCCAGTTCTAGAAGGCTGACGAAATCTTTGGCCTAGTCCTTTCTGAAACGGGACTTTAACGGGAATATAGACTTCGGGAAATAGTGGAACCAATCTACAATTGGGCTCTTCCTTGGCAAAGTAAAAAATAGTGAAGCTGTCCATTAAAAACAAAATAAAAGAAATTATCATAAGCACAAAAAATAGGCATCATTCACATTTAGTCAAACATCAAATAAATATGCTTCAAAAACTAGTAACCAAAAAAATCAACATGCGGCCCTTAGTCTCTAGCCACAATTTGGTTAACAAGTCTACGGACACAGAACCGATCTATGAACAACAGGTCTATGGACACAGAACTGGCCATAGATATCATGTGGTGGAGCCTATCATAAAAAATATAGTTTCACTTAGATTTCTCCACCTAAATTTTATGTGGTTGATTCTATGTCCATAGACTTAATTGTTTGTTCAATTTTTATGTGAAGTTAAGTTGTCTCTCCCAGTTCAAACTAATATATTCATCCTATGAGGGTGTTTACATTCCTCTAAATAAGAGAAACTGTCAAATCAATGTACAATTCATCACTTAAAAAACTCGAGGATGCTGCAATTCAGTTTTACTAAATTCAGAATTTTCTGAAACCAGACATTTTTCTTTTACAAGTAAGAACCTTCTTTCGCAGGGATTTTCTGAAGATAAACATAAAATAGGTCGATTAACATTTTTCTTTTATAGCCGCAAGATTTTCTGAAGCCAAATATAAAATAAGTCAATTAAATAATATTGTGAAGCATTAACTGCTCCAACTGCACAAGTTAACCGTGCTTTGGCTATCTATTATGTTGCCACAGTCACAAAATATTTTAAAAGGTCCAATTCTTGAATTGCCTCGCTTAGGGCACATTCATGTTGAAAGTTGAAACTCAAGACTAAAGATGCCTTGTTAAAAATAAAAAAACAAAACTCCAACATGTCCTGTAATACCATAAGAAGGAAGATAGAATTTGAATTGCATTCATATCTTAAGATATTTGATACATTACATATTTCTAGGCATTATAGAATAATGCAAAGAATGCAAAAAATGGTCATTAAAAATATTGTCTAAAGACATACAAGATTATGATTATTCTCAAGTTCCTTAAATCACATGCAGGAACGACCCAATCACACAGAGATCCATGACAACCTTTGCGACACAGACACAATGACGCCACAAACCTTAGAACAATAGAGCACGGACACGAATACTGAGAGGGCATAGCAATATATAGATATAACTTTCATATAAACATAAATCATGTAACTTTGACATGTAACTTTGACTAAACCTCTATATTAAGAATTCCATAACATATAATATGAAGCTCAACAAGTTCATATGTAACTATTGTATTACGTATATTACTACACTCTTACTTCATCTTTGACTTAACAATTGCATTTCTGTTATTTATTGAAAAGTGGCCATGGCATGCTCGACTTGCAGTTGCCTAGAATGTCAAGCTTTATGGAGAAAGAAATTTTGGACATTTTCAGTTGTCTTAGGGAGCACTAGAGATTTGCTGACAAAGTGTCCAAAATATCATAACTTAATTTCAAATTACTGGCACCTCCACATGCATCTAAGCATGTCCACAAGGTGTCAGTGTGTAAAACATGTCTGACACAAAACTGGCCATTTCTTAGAAGTGTCCATACCTATGAAGCATGGGTACTTTGAAAAACATGTCGTATGGCACGGGTACTTACCGGCGTATGATACTTCTGCATATGTACCGGGTACATAAAATACGTACTCAAATTTTTTTTTTTCTTAATTTTTGGTGTACCCAAACGTACCTAGTATACATCCAAACTGTACCGTACCTCAATTGAAACAATATTTTCTTCTACCATAAAAATAAAAAATTCCTTTAACTAGACTTTCTTTTTATTTTTTGTTTTATACTTAGCATGATTTTAAAATTAAATTATGGTTTGTAAGTTATTTAATATATTGACATTTAATTTTGATTTATACCTTTACTTTTGACATTGAATGTTAGTTATAGGTTGGACCTTAACAAATTAAACCATTTAATTAATTTTTGCATCATCTAAATTATTTATTTATTTATTTTTTTACAAGCGTACAAAATTGTACATGTATCTTATTTTTTTAAAATTTTTACTGTATCAACATACCTGTATCGTACCAGTACTAGTACTCGTACCTGTACCCATGCTTCATAGGTCCGTACTTCTTAGATGCATGTAGTGGCCTGCACACCTTCTTACGTATGTCTTACTTTCTAAACTTGTCCAACAATATTTTCCATGCACTTATCTCAATATTTGCATTTCGACTAAACTCAGGCCCGTTTGTTTCTCAAGATAAGGGTGTCAGATTTGGACTCTCTGATCCTTAACACTTGCACATGAGGCAATTTTTAGTTCACTCCTATCCCTAATAGAGTGTCCCACAAAGCAAATAGTTTCATTGTAAAACAATCCATTTCAGCAAGGTATTTAGTTCTCTAGTCTTATTGTTTCAATTCAACAAAGACACATAGTATGCAAAACAAGTTGGGTTTGGACCCTTAAAATTACTTTATGGTTGACAGATATAGATTGATTGTGACAAAAAAAAGTAACATAGAACTCTTCAATAAGCACACAAATGCTCATCATGGAAAAAATGATACAATGCTGGCAATAAGAGTCACATGTACAGCCATATTCTTTGGTACTTCCAAGTTAAGTTCAGTAATTTTCGTATGCAATGGTCATGTCTAGAGAAGATATGCTGGAAATATGTAAACATCTCAAATTGTTTCCATAAATTATCATGCCCTCAAACAAAGAATGCACCAAAATTATAAGATGGGTAAACTACCAATAGGTCCTAATAGTTGGACTTAATTCCCATAAAGTCCTATTGAAAATAAGTCTTGGTAAAATTGTCGCTAAAAATAATTTTTTTATGACAATTTTTTATATTTGTTGCTAAAAATTAACAATTAGTGACTTCTTTTGTCATGATTTTTATAAATTGTCGCTAAAACTTATAATTAGTGACTTTTTTTATGACAAATTTTTCCCACAAGACCTATTGGACAATAAGTCCACTTATTAGGACCTACATGTAAGCACCCCAATTAAGATATACCCTTAACAACATACCAAAACACCCAACTTGGCCTGCTCGCTTCTAGAACCCTTACAATCTTACCAGAAGAAAACCGTCAATGACTTTCCATAACTGATATTCACCCAAAAGAAGAGTCAAAGTTTTATCCAACCATCTATAACCGTAAGGTAAGAAATTCTCCACTTGTAATGTTCCATCAAATACTCTAGAATGCTGTTCACAAGAAAGCTACAGAAGAAACCCTAGCAAGGAATCTAAAAGTAGACCATCTTCCTAGATGACTTACTCAATCAGCTCTATGAATGTTGCCATCCCTCTTGAATTTCCCAGAATAATGAAAAAGGGAAAATAAAATGCGGAAGTGGGCTGGACAGAGCTGGTATAAATTAGGCAATTATAGGCCTAGAATTGGCTTATGCCCAGTTGCACCAAACAAAGGCCACAACTTTGGGAACCAACACAAGTATATATTCAGACCCAAGACATGTAGTGTTAGGCAGGGCAATGTGGAGTGCAGGCTTGACTGGGCAAATATCATACACAATGATGAAAGTGGTCTGGACTAGAAGGTTACACACAAGCAAGGATTTTCAGGCTAGGGCTTGACTAGGCAACTATGTATGTCTACTAATGGCTCTTCTGGGGTCAGCTTAGAGTTGGGAAGTTTGAAGAAGCCCAAGTTAACTGACTTCAAGTAAAGCTAAAAGAGAGAGAGAGGGGGACACCTCACGTGGGCAACAAGGCAACAGATTACTTTCCAAATATGCTGAATAATAGATTGTTTCACAAATGTGCCTTGAAGAGCAAACCAAGAGGAGCAACTACAAATAGAGGGAATCAACACTAAGGAAGAAACTTTGGCTCTGTTTGGTAGACCTTTTTAAATATGATTTGAGAGTAAGAGTTGTATTTTGAGTTTGTGAGTTTTGAAATTATGATTTAAGTGTGAAAATTTTGTTTGGTGAAAGAGTTTTGAAATGAGTTTTGAATTGAGTGGGGAATTTTTGATATGACATATGATATTTTATACAAAAACTTACAACTCATAACCAAATACACAACTTAAAATTCTATTAAATCTCACAAAAGAATTTTAAAAATTCGGAAAATATTTCTTTTGAATAAATAAAAATTAACATGAGTCAATTGCCAAAAAAAAAAAAATTTGCACTATTCCGGTCAACCAGCCGGACGACCGGTGGGACGTCCAGTTAGGCCAAATTTGAAAAAAAAAAAATTGAAAATCATGCCTGAGACACAGTTTTCTACAATGTTTTCTCTGTGTTGTGGAAATACAGTTTGAAAGCCGTATCCAAACATGAAGTTAGAATGTGTGGGTAGAATTATGTTTTGGAAATCGTTCCAAACACAACCTTTATCTTCTCCACTCACAAAGTACACCAAGCCCTAATTTGCTCTCTCCCTCTCTCTCTGGAGGAATGTTCGCGGGTTATCTCAATTCACTCTAGCACTTTGAGCGAGTACTCAAACCAACGTTCCATCCTTGGGTGGAATTCACATACAAATACACAAGTACATCACAAACAATATTAACATCATATATGGTTGGTATATCAACAATTAAGTTTTAGACTGCTCATATGCTCGATAATTGAGATATCAAATTCAACAGTTAGTCCAACTCCTGTTACAAGCCCATTTCTACCTACAATCAACCCACTCAGAGATACAAGTAATGTAATAAATTGGAATTAATCAGAGTCTAGTTTCCCCATCAAATTTCTGTTTCCCAGAACAATTTCTCAGCAATCCCTTACTTGATTAGCACACTTGCTAGTTCCAAGATTAACCCTTTTTTTTTTCTTTTTTTTTGTGTGCAAACAATCGTCCTAAATCAAAGCCCATATAGCATTTCTACTTCATAGAACCCAGCTCAAAAAACAGCTAAAACAATCAATCAATCAATCAATCAATATCTTCCAACCAAACCCACACATAACAAAGATTCAACACAAAGAAAACAAACAACTTGGCCAATATAAACAAATACACAAATTCATCATACATCTATAATACATATAGGGGTACACAAAATTCATACCACCCCTCAAGCAATGCATCGAAAACAAACGAGACCAAATGGTGATCTGGGTTCATCTCATCAACCTCAAGCTTCAACGTATCCTTATGCACATTCACACCATTCCTAACCTTCTTGGCCTGCTGGTGGTCCACATACGGCGGAGCCGGAGCCGGAGCCATAAACGGAGCGGGTCGGATCCCAACCCACCCATTGTTGGGAAAAGGGTAGTAAGGAGTGAAATTGGGGCAATTGGGCCTACCCATCATAGGATTAGAGTAATTGCAAGTAGTGTAGGCATTGGAGTAGCAGTAGGGAGAGTAAATTGGGGGTGGTGGAGGTGGGTAAGGGTGGGGAAGAGGAGGAGAGTAAGGATCAGGAGGGTAAGAGTATGAGGAAGAAGAAGATGAGGAAGTGATGAGTGAGTTGTGATGAGGGTTTTGGTAGTAATTGTTATTGTTGTTGTTTCTTCTTCTGTTGGTGCTACTCCATGAAATCCCCATATTGCTAGAGAGGAACTAGAGAGAGAGTGAGAAGAATTTAGAGAGAGAGAGAGAGGTGAAGAGAAGAGGAAAGGAGAGGAGAGGAGAGGAGAGGAGAGCAGAGAGAGTGTTAAAGTTGTGTTCTCATTTCGGTGGATCCAAACGCGTCTTTATCTTGTGTTCGCATTTCGGTTGATCCAAACGCGTCCTTATCTTGGTTTTTTTTTTTTTTTTTTGAGTCAATGTTGGAGGAAAATAGCTTGTCTCTTGGTCTTGAAAATGGTGACAATTAAAAGTATTTTTGTAAAATTGGAAAATGCTAGTAAAAGGTGGGAATACTTGTAAGAGATATATTAAAGTTAGGGTAAATTATGAATATATTTTTAAAACTTATTTAAAATATTAATTGTTTCACATCGTTTTGAAAATTATATTTTATTTTTTAAAATTTTTAATCACATGACAAATAATCCTTTTATTAATCAATCATTAAGTTAACTTATAATTTTTAATGATTTCATAAATGTATTTCAACTAATAGTTTTGATAATTTTATTGTTGTATAGAAAAATAGATAGGAATTTTACTTTTGAAAAAATTAGTCTAAAATCTCTCTCTCATTTCTCTCATTTTTAATAATAGGAGAGATCTACAATATTATTTTGTGATGGCTAAGGTCCCTCACCCATCTTATATGTCGCACTTATTCTCTCTCTCTCATTTTTGTTGTTACTTTTGTCTCCTCTTCTCCTCTCTCTCTCTCTCATCTCTGTCTCTGTTTCTTTTGACGTCGCTACCTCTCTACTGCCACCTCCGACGAACTTTTTGTTTGAAAGATCGTATCGATGAATCTCTTGTTTGAGCTTAACGACTTGGAGCTCATCGTGTTCATCCATAAAAGCGGAGTTTTCTTTTTCTCTCTCTACTGATTTGTCATGCTGACAACCAGCTCTCACCTGCGATGGGTTTGACGGGAGTGGAAGGTCGGTGTTCGATCATGAGGCGAGAATGGACGAAGCACAACGTATGAAGGAAGAAGAAGTTATGTATTCGCATCAGATCCATATAAGGTAGGTTGTCAATGTACTTCATTTTCCATGAACCAAATAGTGCTGTGGTTTCTCCTAATTGGGTATTCATTTGTTGCTAGTTATGTTCATATATATATATATACCAACTTGGTTGTTTTTTAGATTGTATATTCCAACTTATCAAAGAAATTGACAATGAGATTTGTATATTCCTAGTTTGTTTGATTATGCACTGAAGGTGTTTGTTATTATGCTTGTGAGAAGTGGCCAATAAAATTTCTCTGGCCATATTTGCAGAGAAATTTTATAAACACATAGGGTGTGTTTGGTTTGGTTTTGGAAGATAAATTTAAAAAAAAAATTGAGGAGAGAGTTTAGAAATTTTTTAGTTTGTTTGGTTGTATATTTTGGAAATAGTTTTGGAGTATGAGAGTTTGAGATGATTTGATATTTTGTTGTAATTGAATAGATGTGTGTGAGAGAAAAAGTGATTGAGAAGGAGAGAGAAGAGAGAAAAAGTAATTGATTGATATGTAGGAGAGAGAAAGTAATTTTGATTTTTTTTTTCCAAAATCACTAAACCAAACAAATTTTTTTAAAAAAAATTCTTCAAAATTACTCTCTCAAAAGCAAATCAAGCAAGGCCATAAAATTTGGTCAAAACAAAGAAAATTTGAAAACCCAGAGAAATTTCAATTCTCTGTTAACAAAGCCAGAGAAATTTATGAAAAAAGCCAGAGAAAACTCAAGGTAGCGTTTGGTAGGGTTTTTTAAATATGATTTGAGAATAGAGTTGTATTTTGAGTTTGTGAGTTTTGGAATTATAATTTGAGTGTAGAAAATTTGTTTGATTTTGTCACGACCCAAACACGCCCCTATGGGTTTAGCACCGTAACCGCCCAGTAATCCGAGATTACCGAAGGCCTGCTTAATAGTAATACAGTAATACAGAGTACAGGGGCTGGCAGAAGCCAATACAGTAAATAAACAATGTCCAATGAGTTGTGATAGTCTGTATGCAAAAAGACTTTTCATTCAAATATATACAGTCAGACAAAACAGTACATATGAACAAAACAGTATGTACATATATACAATCATTCAGTTCAGGGACCTAATCCCTATTAAACAGTACCGTAACAGTCCATACAGTCGTACAAAACCGATACAGAGACAGACAGGGAAATTAAAAACACCCCTAAGTCGTAGCTTGACAGGCTCGGAACCTCGCATTGAGGCACATAGGTTGGCTCGACAAAACTGGAGTTTATCCCAACGCTTCTAGCTGCGGTCAGGTGCTTGTACACCTACATATATATATAAGCAGTGAGGTAAAGCCCAGTGAATAACGCAATGCGTAAAGGGGTCAAGAATGAATGTCCTTACAGTAATGAAAACAGTTCATTAAATCAATACTTCAGTCGTTCAGTCGATACAGTCATATGTGGTACATCCATTAGCATAACAGTACAGTAAACAGGAGGTCTTAAAAGACCGAACAGTAAATTATGGCCATCAATCAGTAACAGTAGTGGTTCCAACAAAGGAACCGACAGAGATCTCTGTAATAGTAACAGTAAACAGTAGTTGCTAAGGATGCCACAATACAGTTCAGAATATAGGACATACATTCATTCAATTAACAGTAACAGTTTAGAAAGGAGTACAGTTCAATTGTTCAGAAGATAATCATTTTGAACATATCTTTACACAGTTGTTACTCACAGAGTTCTGGGCTACAGTAAGCTAGAGCGCGTCCCCAGTCGCCAACCCTACACAGTTACAGATTGAACACACATTGAGTTACACAGTCGGGAAAGATAATAACTTAATCCCTAATTTGCCTTGATGTGTTCTACATCTATATCCTCATTAAGATGCCTTAAACTAGGCCTAATAATGCCTAGGATGAGATGAGGATACAAAGATGCACTTTAAAAATATTTTCAGAATTTTCAGAAAACAGGGGTCACGCTCGAGCGTAGGTTACTCCGCTTGAGCGGACATGCAAACAAAGGTTTCTGCTCGAGCGTATACTTACCCGCTCGAGTGTTCTGCAAAACAGTCAAAAGTGCTGGATAGGTGAAAATCACGCTCGATTGGGCGCTCGACACCCGCTCGAGCGTCAATTATTCCGCTCGTGCGGACTTCAAAACAATGTAAAGTACTGGGAGCACGAATTCCACGCTCGAGCGTTAGTCACCCCGCTCGAGCGTGAGTCCAAATTCTGGAAATTCCAGATTTGAACCTCAAGCTCAAACCCAAGTTTTAAAACATAAATTTCGATCCTCTTGGGCCAATTTTCCAGAAAACATCCCAATACTCATAGTTTAACATGATTCCAAAGCTCAATTGTAAAATCAAAGCCCAAGGGTGTTTCAAACAACTCAATTTCAAACCAATTTTCAAGAATATAATTCAAACATAACATGCATGAATTTAAACCATTTCAAAGCTTCACTTTCATGCTCTAATGAGCCAATTCTTCCAAGGACAAGATGAAATCATGGGCTTAAGCTTAATTATGAACATGCATGTAACATTTTACCATGAAATCAACTCACAACTCTACAATTCAAACATGCATGCATGGAATGAGCTCCAATTCAACATTAAGGAACCAATTCTTGACTTAATCCACTAAATTGACATGAATCATGTAAGAGCAAGTTCAATTCACAAACAAGAGGGTAATAACACTACCTTAGGTCTTGAATTAGAGGTATGGAGGCTCAAATATGCACTCAATCCTTCAATTCCTTCAAATTTGAAACCAAAATTCAAGATAAAGCTAAGTTCCTCTACCTCTCTCTCTTAGTCGGTTTTGCTTCTCAAATGTGGCTGAACAAATGTGTGCCTAAGTGTAATAAGGGTCAAAAGATATTAGGTAGTGGTCCACTCAATAGCCTAATGGTAAATAAGTCCAACTCTATTAATTTGGCTTAATTACTCTAATTTAATCATACCAAATCAGTTTTCAGATAAATATGCCATAAATTCACATTAATTCTAACGATCATAGAATATCAATCAATTTCAGATTCGGCCGCCGATAAGGCCTTCAATTCGCAATTTAAACATAAAAACTGAACAGATACTTAAATAACCAAACAAATAGAATTACAATTAAATAGGTATACTCAGTCAATTCAGTTTCAATTTCAGTCAGTCAGTTCAGTAGTTTATTCAGTTCACTTATCAGTCATAATCAGTTTCAGTTTAACGGTAATCAGTGGTTATTCGGTAAACAGTGACGAGGGTTGTTACAGTCTCCCCTCTTTAAAAAGAGTTTAGTCCTTTAAACTCGAGTTACCTTCATTCTGGAAGAAAACAGGGTTCAGTGAAAACAGTTTAGGATATCTTTTAGCCATGTCATCTTCCCTTTCCCAAGTAGCATACACGCCACCATGGTTTTGCCAGTCAACTTTCACTAACAGGATCTCTTTGTTTCTCAATTTCTTGATCCGTCTGTTTACAATCTGAATAGGCCGTTCCTCGTAAGTGTAGTTATCACTCAGCACTACACGAGTAGGCTCTATCACATGGAAAGGATCCCGGAGGTAGTCCCTCAACATAGAAATGTGGAAGACGTTGTGCATATGCTCCATTTCAGGAGGAAGCGCAACCTGATACGCCACTGGATTGATTTTCTCAATAATCTCATATGGTCCGACGTATCTCGGCGCTAATTTGCCTTTGACTCCAAAACGAGTCTAGCCTTTCATCGGTGTCACTTTCATAAACACGTGATCACCCACTTCATATCCTCTATCCCGTCTTCTGACATTTACACAGTTGTTACTCACAGAGTTCTGGGCTACAGTAAAGCTAGAGCGCGTCCCCAGTCGCCAACCCTACACAATTTACAGATTGAACACACACTAAGCTACACAGTTGGGAAAAATAACA